ATCCCTAAACACTGGAGATATAAGGAAGATAATCCCTTGCTAACCCCTTTTGAGCCTTTGAAGCAGAAGTTTCTTTTCTATACGAAAAAACCTTGAATTTTAACCTGGGGCAGGGTAGTTTTTAGTTAATCTGACTGAGTGTTCAAAATTCATAAGGAAGATGTTTTTTGAAGAGAAACTACGAGGGCTATCCTTCATGTATAATGAATCTAGAGGATGTGGAACCACAATGTCATCCCTCATTCATCAAGAAACGAGGCAATCACAATCCTCTCAATAATCAAAGACAAGCTAATGTCACACATTTTGTTCAAAAAGTCAAAAAAATCAAGAAAAAGAAAAGCCTGCTAAGTCAAAAAAAAAATGAAAACGTGTGACTTAGGCAAAATTAAGGCATCCCGCTGGACTATCAATTCAAAAATTAGTTCAGGCAAAAATTAGGGAAAATAAAAATTGCAAAGAAAGGACTACGAAGAAAAGTCCTCAGCAAAGAGCAAATTGGTGACTACAAACACAAAGACATGAGAGTGGTTTCTACTCCGAAAGCCTCATCGTTTCCTCGACCGTCACAAAATCCTTTTGAGAGATGAACACTCATGTTTGAATTAATTGAACATAGGGTTGGAGAACATCATGAAGAATGGGTGGGCACCTATAAATTTTGAGCCTTAAAAATCTTTTTTTTCTAAAAACCATGAACCAGGCCACGTTACAACCTTTAAAAGTCCTAATTGAAGCAAGGTTATTTTGAAAGCATACTTCAATGAGATAGTGTTCCTGACTCCCATGAATGTTTGCTAAATACTTATGTTGGTATCATATGCTTTTTTTTCTATACAAAAATAAATGGTGCTCTAACTCGCAAAATTTATGCGATATCGTTTCAAAATCTTCAAGACTTACATAATTGTTGCATTAGAATTTTCATTCTCATTGTAAACTTTTTCTAACTGCAAAACATTTGTTTGATATCAAGGAAGCTCACATAAGCACAAGTGATAAGTTTATTCTTTTAAGGCCTGAAACTATGTTGAGTAATTGGCGGATCACGTCAAGAAAAAATCATATCCATGGGCATGTCACCTGAAGACCGTAAGCACGAACATGTTGCTTCTCCCAGTTAATGCTTTTCCCAACTTGTTTGCTCGTTTGGGGCAAAAATTCGAAGACTTTGTTGTGCCGACTACAGTCAATCCGGGGCAATCACGTAGAGATTTGATGAATCTCTCTAAGAGTTTGAAGACACCAGAGCATGGTGAATGCCAGGTCTTTTGTAAAATCCTCTTGAGACGATTTCTCCTCATCAACCATATAGCTCGGGGCATTTTAGAGGTGAAGCTATTCGCAAGAATTGTCGTGCATCACCCAGCTTATCAACAGTAAACTTGGGGCATCCAAAATTAGTCCCAGGGGCAATCCAGATTTGTCAAGATATGTGATATGTATTGCACACATTATCAGAGGGTGGTGTTCCCAGTATCTCCAGCTAAGCAAGACTTCTTTCCAGCTGAAACTTTGTTCGTGTTGTTATCCTTTCAATGGATTGTTTGCAATAGAAGACTGGACTTTGGGTTTTCTACCTGAAAATATCTTTCCCTCCATAGATATTTAAGCCTTGTAAAAGGACTTTGCTCCAAGGATGGCTTTTGTTTCTATCTCCAGTAATGTTACCATCCTTTTGAGATTAGCCGAGTGTCGAGTTGTACTGTGATGTCTTATCATTTTCTGTCCATCTCCCCTGTCTGTTTTGTCAGCATATACATGACATTCATTTATTCATTCACACTTGCATCATGCATGCACAGTTGTATTTGTTGATGTCTTTGAGTACGTATACCTTGGTTATGTCTATTCAAATAGCGTATTTGATCTTTCCCAAATAGAACGTCAACTTAAGCATAAAGTGCGCCTCCTTTCTAATTCCCCACTGAGTTAACTCTCGTGGAAGAATCTTGCTTCAGCTTTCCTTTTCCATCTCTGGATAGGATAAATCCCCATTTGAGTTGTTTCCTCATTGGATGGAGTCTTGTTTGACTATTTTCTCTCCAGTTTATTCCTGGATTGAGCTTTGTCTCTTGTGAATGATACCCTGTGGATCTCCCTAGGCTGTGAAACCTAGATGGAGAGTGCATTTATTTTACAATGTAAATACTTGGTCTTCTCGGGAAGAATCCATTCCTGGTTTCCCATTGAAGATGAACTTTATTCCCTAGTAGTGTTATCACAACCTTCTTCTGGAATATCGACATGACAACAAGTGACTGACTCTTTATTTGAGCAGTTTGATTATTTATGATTTCTCTACGATAAATGGCGGTCTCTTCATGAGCAGTTTGTCCATCCTCGATGAAATTATTGATTCTCACCTCCAGCATTATCTTCATGATATTTTATGGGTATCTTTGAGAAAACAGCAAGCGGCAGTCTCTTCATGGACAACTTGTATGTTATCAACACTTTTTAAAAAAACAGCAAGCGGCGGTCTCTTCATGAGCAACTTGTGTGTTATGGATACTCTTGACAAACAGCAAGCAGCGGTCTCTTCATGAGCAACTTGTGTGTTATTTTTCTCTTGAAAAACATCAAGCGGCGGTCTCTTCACGAGAAACTTGTATGTTATTGATACCTTGAAAGAAACAGCAAGCGGCGGTCTCTTCATGAGCAACTTGTGTGTTATTGGTAATTTTGAAAAGAAACAGCAAGCGGCAGTCTCTTCATGGACAACTTGTATGTTATCAACACTTTTTAAAAACAGCAAGCGACAGTCTCTTCATGGACAACTTGTATGTTATCAACACTTTTTGAAAACAGAAAGTGGCGGTCTCTTCATGAGCAGCTTGTACGGAAAACGGCAAGTGGCAGTTTCTTCATGAGCAGCTTGTACGTTAGTATTTTTGGAAGACAGCAAGTGGCAGCTTATCTATTTGAGCAACTTGTGTGTTATTGTTCCCTTGAAAACGGCAAGTGGCAGCTTCTTTATGAGCAGGTTGTGGGTTATTGGCAACAAGTGGCAGACTCTTCATGAGCAGCTTGTGTGCTTTAATATTCTTTGAAGACAGCAAGTGGCGGTCTCTTCATGAGAAACTTGTATGTTATTGACACCTTTGAAAGGAAGCAAGTGGAGGCCTCTTTATTTGAGCAGCTTGTGTATCCCCAACAATAATGTCTACTCAGTAAATGGCATCCCTTCGGAAAGTCCCGTGGGGAAGTTTGCATTTTATCATTTCTTTTCCAGCCACAGCGCTGATGTAAATCATTTCTTTTTCCAGTCTTCATACTGATGTAAATCATTTCTTTTCCAGTCTCAACACTGATGTAAATCATTCAAGAGTCTCTCATCTGAAGTCTATGACTCTGTTTCCCCAGTGGAGTTACAACCTCTTCCTCTGTGGGATTACTGTTTAATGTGCTTGGTTTCTCCAGCATAGTCTGTCTCATATGGCGTCATTCCCCATAAAATTCAGAGCATTACATTCATATCATATCATGAACATAATAGCGGTATCTTAAGGCCAAAAATTGTGTATTCTATATTTAAGTCCCTTCAATCTCGTCGAAATGAAGATCCCAATCCTCATATCTCCAGATGGAAGAAACTTAAATAGGGGCAGCTGTTGTACCCCAATTTTTGACCTAAGATCCCATTTTTATTTTTGCATTTTTTAAGATAAGTCAAGGTCACGAAATACGGTCAGTTTTAACCTCTCACCTTCGAGCTTTGACTATGCGAAGATTGTCAAGCGTTTTTGAACATTTTTAGCCTATGTATCACTAATTTCTAATCGCATACAAAGGTGTATGTTCATGTTTTCTTTTGTTTCATGTGCAGAGACAGGTCTGAATCAAGAGCATCAGGTGTCGCGCCCCAATTAAGGTTTTGAGTCTCCCAAGACAAAAGTACGGTTGATTATGGATTCTCGAAGACTGATTCATCAAGGCACAACTATTGCACCCTAAATTTCGCCCCTAATATGTTTTAGTCGCACTTTCATATCATATTTTGTCATTTGGTTACAATCATTAGTAAATAGCTTCATTCATTACATTTGCATCATTTAATCGTGTTTAAGTTAACCAAAAGTCAGTTTAAATCGATATTTGCATCATTCTGTAGTGGAAAAATACCCGACATTTCACTTCATGCATTTTTACCTCTTTACTCTTTTCTTGCATTGCTCAAAATTGTTTATATGTCGATAATAAAAATATTCTGGTTTTACAGACAGACTGTTAAAAGCGATTCGACACTATACGAAAATTAGCGAGAAAAATATTTCAAGTTTTCACCTTTTACCGATCATTTTATGAATCTGCGTCTCGCGTAGATTATGACGGTATGCTCGCTTTATTTTTTCGGTACAGTTTGAAGTCTCTTTTTTAACCGTAAACGCCTGTTTAGCCTGATATTTTAATTATCATTTTATTTCGATTTTTGACCTTTTGAATATTTTTTCTTTAATCTTTGTGACATGTAGATTATTTTAATGTGTTCATTTTATTTTTTCGGATAAATTTTCGTTCGTTTTTTTATCATTTTCAGTCATTTTAGGTCTTTATTTTTTTATTCAGAAAAAATTCAAAAAAATCATTTTAAATTGAATTAATTTAAATACTTTCAGTTTTTTATTTCATTTTTATCATTAAAAGGGCTGTTTAGTCACAAAATAATGTTTATTACACCATGCTTGATTCCTATTGGTTGTTAATAGAAGTTACGGATCAATAAATTGCCAAAACAGAATTGAAGTTTTGAACGGATGTGATTGAATCTCATATTATATTTTTCCTTTTCATTTCCTATATAAAGCCTCTTATTATCTTTACACAAAGAAGACAACAAAAAAAAAAGCAGTAGCAGTAATCTACTTTCTCTCTTAAACTTTCTACTCCCTCTTCTCTCTACCTAACAACAAATAACAACACAACTACACCAACAACACAATCCATCGCATACTCCCTTTATCCCCCTAATGTCCATCATCATAATCCAAGTCTCACAAATGAACCCTCAAGACCTTCACCATCTCTGGCTCCACCTCAAATACAATCTCGTATGTGTCATTACTTGCTCCGCTATTCTCGTTTTCGGATCCACCGTTTACATCATGACCCGACCCAGATCCATTTACTTAATCGATTACTCCTGTTACAAACCCCCTTCTAATCTCACCGTTAAGTTCAATAAATTCATCCAACACTCCAAACTCAAAGGCGATTTCGATGAATCTTCTTTAGAGTTTCAGCGCAAGATTCTAGAACGTTCTGGTCTCGGTGAAGAAACCTATCTCCCTGAAGCTATGCATAAGATTCCACCAACACCTAACATGGCTTCTGCAAGAGAAGAAGCTGAACAGGTTATGTATGGTGCTCTTGATAATCTCTTTGCTAATACAAAGATTAAGCCTAAACAAATTGGTATACTTGTTGTTAATTGTAGTTTGTTTAATCCAACGCCTTCGCTTTCTACTATGATTGTTAACAAGTATAAATTAAGAGGAAATATAAGGAGTTTCAACTTAGGTGGGATGGGTTGTAGTGCAGGTGTTATAGCTATTGATCTTGCCAAAGACATGCTTCAAGTTCATAGAAACACTTATGCTGTTGTTGTTAGTACTGAGAATATTACTCAGAATTGGTATTTCGGTAATAAGAAATCTATGTTGATACCTAATTGTTTGTTTCGTGTCGGTGGTGCTGCTGTTCTGCTTTCTAACAAAGGCTCTGATAAAAGAAGAGCCAAGTATAAGCTTGTTCATGTTGTGAGGACTCATAAAGGTGCGGATGATAAAGCGTTTAAGTGTGTGTATCAAGAGCAAGACGATGTTGGTAAAACCGGTGTTTCTTTGTCGAAAGATCTTATGGCTATTACAGGTGGAGCGCTTAAGACTAATATAACAACTTTGGGTCCACTTATTTTACCAGTTAGTGAACAACTTTTGTTTTTTACTACCTTGGTTGTTAAGAAGCTTTTTAACGCGAAAGCCAAGCCTTATATACCTGATTTTTAAACTTGTTTTTGAGCACTTTTTTATACATGCTGGTGGAAGAGCTGTGATCGATGAGCTTGAGAAGAATTTGCAGCAACTTCGGATAGCTCATCAGGATTAACTTTCGGTAAGCTTTTGATTACTAACTCTTTTGTTCGTATAATTGCGGTAATGAGAAATTTTCTGCGTGACATTGTTGTTAATTCATGCTTGATTAATGGTGATTGTTGTTGAAGTTGTTAAAATTAGTTTGAGGTGATAATGATTATTGATTGTGAAATTGAAACTTTGTTGTTTATTGAAATGAAGAACATGTAGTGGTGATAGTGAAAAAGTTTGGTTACTGTCACACAGAGAAGAGAAAATTGTCATCTCTTTCCTTTTTTTTACTTTAAGTTTTTTTAATTAATTTATTTCACCCTTATTTTCTTTTACATTCTTTTGTTTGTTTTATAATTCTAGATTTATATTTTCTTTATTAAGGTTGATTATACTGTTTTGTTTAATTTAAAAAAAAAAACAAAACAAAACAATATCAATTAAGTAGTCTAGTAGATTTTGGTAAAGTTTTAGTAGTTAATCATTTTTTAAATAACTTCAAATTAATAGTTAATCTTTCTTTGTTTTAATTTTTGTAGTGTTTATTTTTTTTAATAATTTTTGTTTAGAATTATTTCTTGTGAACTTTCCTATTCTTGATAGTTTGTTTAAATGTGTGTTGTTTTGTGTTAAATTTGTGACTTTTGATCCAATTCATCTTGGTTCTTATTTGTGTAAATATTCATATGCATTCATGCAATTTCATTTCGATTTATACTTTGTTATTACCAACACATGTTCTATTTGTTGCAATTTCATTTGATTTTATTTTTATACTTCGTGACTACTAACACATGTTTTAATTGTTGCAATTTCATTTTTATATCTCTTATGCTACTAACAAGTTTGTTTACTGTGAAGGTTTCCGAGAACTGTTTCAAGCGTTCGTTCTCGCATAGCGCATTTATACTTTTTCTTTATTCCCTTTTTACCTTACTATTTTGATTTAATATTTGGTACTGTAAATATATACTGGTACATAATATTTTTTTACTGTATATTTTACTCATTTCATTGGTAAATAAATTCTGTCTATGTAGATATTATTTTCATTGCATTGTGATTTTATTTTTAATTCCAACTAACTTCTGAAAATTGTGCGGACGCACATAAGTTTCCCGTGCTGTTAGATTTTGTCGGTATATCTCTTGTGATGCAGGGATTCTTATCTGACACCGTGAGCTTTATCCACCGCCTTCGCGCTTTATCTGATGTTTGGAGTATTATCTCACATTAGGTTTTTTGATGATGTTGTCGGCTTGTGAATTATTTTCACCTAAGGTTTGATACACTCTTAGCTTATTTATCCGTCTGTGGTTTTAATTCCAAGGGAAATATTTTAATTTTTGTTGACTTCTTGTCATCAAATACATCTTATCCAATTGAGCGAACTCCTTCATTCATTTGAATTTTATTCTTTTGGCTAAACTTAAGTGAATTTTCCTAAAAGATTCAATTTTCAAACTCACACCTTTTAAGTCAAAACTTCGACACTAGGTCGTCGTATCTTCAAAATCTCATTCACACCCATTTTGACTAAACAAACCATTTTACCCAAACAAACAATTTTAACCAAAAAACAGATATTTCAAAAGGTTCATGCGGAGTACCGCAGATGCATTGGGTGCTAATACCTTCCCATTGCATAACCAACCCCCGAACTCTCGATCTCTTTTCAAAACGCATTGTATTTTCATTACTTTTAAGTATTATTATACATTGCATATTTTAGGGTTTTATTTCGCTCTTTTCCCTTTTCCCTTGGAAATAATAAAGCGCGGTGGCGACTCTTGCTTTTGCGAGTCAAGTTAATTAATAGCTTGATCTCCGATTTTCACCGCTACACCAGGTTTATCAAACATAACCTCATCTGCCGTTACGGTATTCCTGAAAGGATCATTACAGACAATGGGACTAACCTCAACAATGCTATGATTACTGAGCTTTGCACTCAATTCAAAATCAAGCATCACAATTCTTCTCTGTATAGACCTAAGATGAACGGCGCAGTGGAAGCTGCCAATAAAAATATCAAGAAGATTGTGCAAAAGATGGTGGTAACATACAAAGACTGGCATGAGATGTTACCGTTTTCCCTCCACGGCTACCGCACTTCGGCTTGAACATCAACCGGGGAAACTCCTTTCTCTCTGGTTTATGGCATGGAAGTTGTTCTGCCAGTGGAAGTTCAGATTCCCTCGTTGAGGATTATGATTGAGACCGGCTTAGGCGAAAATGAGTGGATTCAAACGAGGTTGGATCAGTTGAATTTTATTGACGAGAAAAGATTGACTGCTGTCTGTCATGGTCAAGCGTATCAAAAACATATGATCAAGGTATTCAACAAAAAATGTTAAGCCTAGGGTATATCAAGTTGGTGACTTATTGATAAAACTCATCATTCTACCACAAGGCGACCCCAGGGGCAAGTGGACTCCTACTTACGAAGGACCATTTTTTGTCAAGAGAGTTTTCTATGGCAGTGCCATGATGCTGACTACCATGGATGGCGAAGATTTCCCGCATCCGGTAAACGCGGACATAGTCAAAAAATACTACACATAAGAGACCTGTTAGATTGACACACCTAAGAAAAATAAGGGCATCCCGTCAAACCAAAAGGTTTGGGAAAAAATTAGGGATATATGCAAAAGATTGTACACCCGGCAAGTTGAAAATCCAAAAGGGCGACTTGGGCAAAAAGGGGTATCCTGTTGGGTTGAAAACCCGAAAGGGCGGTCCAGGCAAAAGTTAAGGATTAAAAGCGTACGACTATGTCCCGTGAAATAAACACGGTCAAATTCTATCACCAAGGTCCAAGTTCAAATGGTCCAGGATCAATCCAATCAATTTCGATCAACGGTAAAGGATGTTCGAAGACATTGGGAAATAGTAGAGCTAGAAGACAATGAGATCATTTCACATGGCTATTTGTTTCTCAATTTTGTTTTCCTTTTTGGTGATTCCCGCTTACTAGGATTCCCGTCTCTATGTACAAAAACGCCTATTCATGGGCAAAATATCAATACAAATATACTTCGAAGTACAAAATTTTCTATCTCTGTTTTGAATGCAAAATTGTCCAATGACTAAAATTGAATGAACATATGCATATGAACATAATTAAAGCTATTTGACACATGTGTCCTGCCAAGCAGCAGCATCAACAAAGCATCAGTGCACAACAACAGTAAGCATCTCTTTTAATGTCTGTGAAACAGCCCCCACAAAGTTATCTCATCATCATTATCTCCACCAGGGCGATGACAATAGACCTTTCCCCAACGGAGTTGCCCATAAAATCTCCTTACACGGGATAATCCCCGGCCAAAGTCTCAACCTCTTGGAAATTTTCTCCCTAGCTAAAGCCTAGGAGATCTCTTCCTAAAGGGAATTCACCTCCTCAATAGGGTTTATTTCCCCAACAGAGTTATTTCCCCAGCTGAGTATATACTCCCCAGCGAGTCCAAATTGCCCGACTGAGCCCATCATCCCCAGTTGAGTATATCTTCTCCAACCGAGGTTTTCATCCCCAACAGAGTATATCTTCTCCAACCGAGGTTTTCATCCCCAGCGGAGTATATCTTCCAACCAGGGTCTTTTATCCCCAGATCAGCCAATCATCCCCGGCTGAGCCCGTCATCCCCAGTTGGATGTATCCTCCCCAAACTGCGTCTATCTTACCCGACTGAGTCTATACTCTCCAGGTTGAATTTCCCTTTCAAATGACTGCAAATCACAGGGCCATAACCCCTGATCCCTAGTAAAGCCTTCAACAAAGACTTTATTATTTCCAAGATGCTTTGAAGCCTGGATCCGACTAGATATTAGCACAATTTTCAAGTTATTAATGAAGCCTGGACTTGACCAGATAACCGTTTGACTTCTTCAATTACTGAAGCCTGGACCCGACCAGATAACGGATGATTTCAAAATGCTATGAAATCTGGACCCGACCAGATAATAGCCTAATTCTTCAAATATATAGAAGAACCTGAACTTAATCCACCAAAGGTTTAATTTCTTTTCCCCAGTAGAGTTGTCTCTCTATCCCCAACAAAGGGCTGAGAAACCTGGACCCGACTAGATATCAGTCCTCATTTCCATCCTTTCAAGAAAGCTGTTGCGAAGCCTGGATCCGACCAGATAGCAATCATCCTCAGAGATTCGTTGTGAAACCTGGAAACCGACCAGATAACAATTAAATCCCCAAGAAGTTTATTGTGAAACCTGGACCCGACCAGATAACAATTGACCTCATCAAAGAAATCTGCAAAGCCTGGACCCGACCAGATAACAGTTTTCAAACAATATATTGTAAAGCCTGGACCCGACCAGATAACAATTAACTGTAATCCCTGGAAAGACACTATGAAGCCTGGACTTGACAAGATAATAGTGCAATTTTCCAAAAAAAAACATGAAGCCTGGATCCGACCAGATAGTAGTTTCCATTCCAAGTTACTGCGAAGCCTGGATCAGACCAGATAACAGTTAACTTCCGTATCCCCAACAAGTTATGGTGAAGCCTGGATCCGACCAGATAACTATTCGATTTCAAGGAATTTTTCTGTAAAGCCTGGACTCGACCAGATAACAGTTAATTCGTCTCATCCTCTAGTAAGTGTTTGTGAAACCTAGACCCGACCAGATAGCAGTCGACTACTTCATCCTCAACAACTGTGAAGCCTGGATCTGATCAGATAACAGCTGACATTAGAGTAATCTTCCCCAGCAAAAGCATCCTTTCAATAAAATTTGAAGATATGCATGTTTTTCATTTCCAACAGGCAATCAGGGATTCAACCTCCCAGAATTTCCTTAGCAGTGGTCAGGGATTTATTTTCCAGGTCAAAAACATACATTTCACATTCATACATCATAGCATGTACATACCATATGCATCTAGTATGATACCACAT